AGATGAGAGCGGAGCCAGCACTGTTAGCGGGTGCGAGCAGTGGCTCTGGTGCCAGCAGCACGTGGGAGTGGGGCCAGCACCGGCACCAGGAGGGACCGCGGCATTCGGAGCAAAGAATTTTCACTAACCACCAGAAGCTCACCCCAATGACAGCGACTGGCACCTCCTGCCTTAGTCTGGCACCCCCACTCACCTGCTCCACCATCCCACCATGGCAGACGCCCACATATTCTATGTATGCCCCCTGGTGGTAACCACGCATCACGGTGACTGGTTGTTCAGTTGTTCTGCCGTTTGGCCTATTTGCATATTAGCCTTTTATTATAAAGGAGGATCTATAATTATAAAAGCATAATATGCTAATTAGACTGGATATCCTTCTGGACTAAGCCAGGGCTGTGAGGGAAGCCGGGGTCCCAGGTGCCTGCCGGTGGCAAGAGGGAGCCTGAATCCCCAATGCCAGAGGGAATCCGGTGCTGCAGCCGGGGGAGGAAGGCCTGCTCTTGCATGAATTCAGTGCATCGGAGAGAGAAAGAAAGAAAGAGAGAGAGAGAGAGAGAGAGAGAGAGAGAGAGAGAGAGAGAGAGAGAGAACGAGAGAGAGAGAGGGAGAGAGAGGGAGAGAGAGAGAGAGAACAAGAGAGAGAGAGAGAGAACGAGAGAGAGAGCGCGCACTAGCGCACAGGCAGGACAAAGTACAGTTCCAAGTGAAGGGTGATGACAGACCCTCTAAGGTAGGGGTGTCGAACTCAATCAGAGAAGGGGCCAAAATCTAAAATCCAGCCTAAATCGCGGGCCGAATGGTTTACTGAACAGTTATAAACTGTCATTGTGATGGAAACGCAGCGGAGTGCAGTGATGACAGCGCGGTGCGGGCCACATTGCAAGGCCTGGCAGGACAGATTTGGCCCAAGGGCCTTGTGTTTGACACATGTGCTCTAAGGGAAGGATGCCCAGGGCTCAGGAGTCACCAGAACCACTGACGTTCCTCTGAGCGATGAGATATGAAGCGGAGACTGCGGAAGAGCCACCCCTTAGGAGTGAGGCTCAATTAGCTCTGCAATCATGGCTATAACAGCCTTTAAAATATCTTAGGAACAAACTTCAAAAGAATCTAATTAATCCACCAGTAATTAACTGCCTGTCATAAAAAGGCCAGTATTCTTTGAAGGAACACACACACAAAAAAACAAGATTCAACAAGAGAAAATTAAAAATATCTGGCATTAGTTGTTTGGTTTTTTAAATCCATACAAAGAGCCCAGCTGGTGTTGCTCAGTGGTTAAGCATCAACACAGAAACAAAGAGGTCCCTGGTTTGATTCCCAGTCAGGGCACATGCCCGGGATTGTGGGCTCAGTCCCCAGAAGGGGGCATGCAGGAGGCAGCTGATCAATGATGTTTCTCTCTCAGCAATGTTTCTATCTCTCTATCCCTCTCCCTTCATGAAAAAGAAGGGAAATGTGACCCATAATGAAGGTAAAAATCAGTCAATAGACACAAACCCACAAATAACTAAAATAATGGTATTAGCAAAAAAAAACAAAATACATTAAAACTGCTAACATACACATGTTCCAAGTGCTTAAGCACATAAAGAAAATCATGAGCACAAATAAAAAAGAAGTTGAAGACTGTAAAACACCCAAGTAAAATATTTAGAGGTGAAAAATAAAATATAACATTTTAAAAAGTTTAATATTAGATATCACAGAAAGAAAAAAGAACACTTTTAATTAAAACACTTTTAATTAATAGCAGTATAAACTACCCAAAATACAAAAATAGAGGGGGGGGGGGGGTGTGGAGAACTTGACCCAAGTCTCAATGACTTGGTGGACAATATAAAATACTTGTTATTAAAGCCCCAGAAAGGGAAGAGAAAAAATAAAACAAAACAAACATTTGAAGAAATAATGACTAGATTTTTACCAAATTTGATCTAAGAATCCAAACTCCAACCAAGATGAAAGAAAAAAAAAATCACATCAAAGCATATTATTACCAAATTTTGAAAAATACACTTTAAGGGCAGCCAAAGGAAAAGCAAACATAAGAATGACAGCAGACTCTTCACTGGACACTGCAATGCAGAATACAATGGAGTGCCATCTTTAACGCTGTCAATCTAGAATTGTATATGCATCAAAAGTAACTTTTTAAAAAATTAAGGTAAAATAAAGAACTTTAAAATCATAGAGGATTCATGGGCCACACAGTATATCAGCAATCTTACCCTAGATACCTGTCCTACTAAAAAGTAAGCACAGGCATGCGCACACACAGTAAATGTGTGTGGGTGAGGATCTTTATTGCGACTGCCTGGGAACATGTCATTACTGACGGCTGTGAGTGTGCGATCCCTCCGGCTGCTAGGATGTGTGTGCCCCACAGGAATGCTCGCGGTGCTTCTGCAGTCATCCTCAGCCACAACAGTGACAGCAGATGTGAGCGGCCCACTGCCTCTGGTTTCAGCCGTCATACTACAAACAAGTCCTCTTTTTGTGGTCTGCACAGTGCCACGTTTTCACATTTTTGTGGGATTTTGTTGGTGATAACGCTGTTTAAAACTGGCCCCCAGGAACAATGCTTAGTGCTGCCCCGTGTTCTGGGGTGTGAGAAGGCTATGTATCTGACAGGGAGAACACGTGTGTGGGGTGAGCTCCATTTAGCATGCATTACTGTGCTGTTCACCACGAGTTCATGTCAATGAATCAACAATATATATTCAATAGATGCCATTAAATAGAAACACGCATTAGACAAGGTTATATATTGATTGGTTGACAAAAGTATTGTGACCAGAGGCTCATAGGAACCTACCCTTAGCAACAGTATTCACTAGTTCAGTATTTTTATAGACTATAGAGAATAACTGCCAGAAAAAGAAGGATTTTTGGAGAGATTCAGTGGAAAATTAAGATACAACCAGCACCAGACAATATTATACAAGCTTTAAAGGTCATTAATTCGAGCTCAGGCAGATGCTTCAAAGTCATTCCCCCAAAGTTACTGTTTCATGAGAAAGAAAACTCTAGGAAGATGTGGCATTGATGTCTCGTTCAGCTGGGGTGACACATCTGACTGTGCCTGTGTGTGGATGTCTGTGTGTGGTTGTCTGTGTGTGGATGTCTGTGTTTGCCTGTGTGTGGTTGTCTGTGTGTGGTTGTCTGTGTGTGGATGTCTGTGTGTGGAAATCTGTGTGTGCCTGTGTGTGGAAATCTGTGTGTGCCTGTGTGTGGATGTCTGTGTTTGCCTGTGTGTGTGCGCCTGTGTGTGGAAATCTGTGTGTGGAAATCTGTGTGTGCCTGTGTGTGGATGTCTGTGTGTGGATGTCTGTGGGTGCCTGTGTGTGGATGTCTGTGTGTGGATGCCTGTGTGTGAATGCCTGTGTGTGGATGTCTGTGTGTGCCTGTGTATGAATGTCTGCATGTGCCTGTGTGTGGATGTCTGTATGTCCCTGTCTGTGTGTGCCTGTGTGTGGATGTCTGTGTGTGCCTGTGTGTGTATGTCTGTGTGTGGATGCCTGTGTGTGCCTGTGTGTGGATGTCTGTATGTCCCTGTCTGTGAGTGCCTGTGTGTGTATGTCTGTGTGTGGATGCCTGTGTGTGCCTGTGTGTGGATGTCTGTGTGTGGATGTCTGTGTGTGGATGTCTGTGTGTGCCTGTGTGTGGATGTCTGTGTGTGCCTGTGTGTGTGTGGATGCCTGTCTGTGCCTGTGTGTGTATGTCTGTGTGTGGATGTCTGTATGTCCCTGTCTGTGGGTGCCTGTGTGTGTATGTCTGTGTGTGGATGCCTGTGTGTGCCTGTGTGTGTATGTCTGTGTGTGGATGTCTGTATGTCCCTGTCTGTGGGTGCCTGTGTGTGGATGCCTGTGTGTGCCTGTGTGTGTATGTCTGTGTGTGGATGCCTGTGTGTGCCTGTGTGTGTATGTCTGTGTGTGGATGCCTGTGTGTGCCTGTGTGTGTATGTCTGTGTGTGGATGTCTGTATGTCCCTGTCTGTGGGTGCCTGTGTGTGGATGTCTGTGTGTGGATGTCTGTGGGTGCCTGTGTGTGTATGTCTGTGTGTGGATGCCTGTGTGTGTATGTCTGTGTGTGGATGCCTGTGTGTGCCTGTGTGTGGATGTCTGTGTGTGGATGTCTGTATGTCCCTGTCTGTGGGTGCCTGTGTGTGGATGTCTGTGTGTGGATGCCTGTGTGTGCCAGTATGTGGATGTCTGTGTGTGGATGTCTGTGTTTGCCTGTGTGTGTGCCTGTGTGTGGAAATCTGTGTGTTGCTGTGTGGGGATGTCTGTGTGTGCCTGTGTGTGGATGTCTGTATGTGCCATGTGGTCACGTGTCCAGTGGTACACACCAGGCTGACAGTCTCAGGTTCTTTCTGTGGGGCAGTGTGAACACAGCAGAACAGTGGGGGTAAGCTGAAGGGGAGCTAAATGGGATAAAAACATCAATTCAATGGCTGTTATGCAGTGAACGGACGCAACACTGCTGATTAATTTATTTATGTAAAATCACCTGTACAGTATGCAGAGCACAAAAGAGAACATCGTAGTGGCGTGTCTGGCTGTGGGCCAGTGTCTGCGCTGTGAAGGGGCAGGTGCAGAATGGTGTGCAGAATGGGACTCGATCTGGGGGCAGATCTGCCTGCCATAAACTTTGAAGTGTGAGAATGAACAACGGAAGGTGTGTTTAAAGAGAGAGAACGGTTGGGAGTCTTTGGGAGAAGGTTATTTGTTTTCAGGTTTATTTCCATTAATTTGTTTCAGTCATTATAGTAAGTATGGTTTTGTTGAAATTTGAAAAAAACACAAGTTAAATGGGGTAGAAACATCAATTCAATGGTTGTTATGCAGTGAATGGAAGTTCTAGCCATTTTTGCCTATGTTAGCCAGCTGGTTGCATATTGGTTTTGGGAGCAAATTCTGAGGATGGCAGCAGCCAACAGCCATACCCCTGGATGCTGACAGGGGTTCTTCATGGCCTTTGTTCTTTTCCTTTTAGGAGTCATTGCGAGCCGTCAGATACGAGGTGTCTCCCGATAAGGAATATGCACTTTTCTCCTACAACCTGGAGCCCGTGAGTATCCGTTTTCCTGTCTGTGAGGGACCGACTCCCAGTCTCACTCCTTCCTAAGCTTTCCCTCGGCTCTTCACTCTCAGTGATCTTTGGACCAGTGGGTCCTGGGGAACCGTTATGTCACACTGCCACCTAGGAGAGAGGAAAGGCATAAAAATTCCTCCACAGAAATAAAGACGCTCCTGTCAGGGGCTATTTTATAGGGTTTGCTTGGAGTGATGGTGAGAAGTTGCCTTTTATAGAGATTTATCTTACCCTGCTGTGCAACTCTTTTTTTTTTTTTTTTCATTTTCTCGATCACATCATCAATTTTTATCCCAAGAACAAAAGCAACTGGCAGTTTCTTGCTTAACTGAAATAAAATGCGCATTATCAGCCAGCCTTCGTAATCTTCTAGAGAAGAGTTGAACTTCCTCTTTATTATATAAAATCCCTGCTTTTAGAACTTCATAGATGAGTCTCCATAAAACATCACCAGAAATTTCCATAAAATCTCATTCTAGGCGCTAGTGCAGTGGTTGGCAAACCGCGGCTTGCGAGGCACATGCAGCTCTTTGGCCCCTTGAGTGCCGCTGCGATGTGAGGTGGCTTTTCCGCAAAACACCACGTGTGGGCACGCACGTGCAGTGCGAGTGAAACTTCGCGGCCTGTGCGCAGACGTCGGTTTTCTTTCAGCTCTCAAAAGAAATTTCAGTCATTGTACTGCTGATATTTGGCTCTGTTGACTAATGAGTTTGCCGACCACTGTGCTAGTGGCAGCTTGACATTAGCTCTTCCTTCCTGTCTCCTTCCGTTGAACATGGTCATGGTTGAAAATTAACTCGGGCTCTTTAATGTTAGATGAGCCACAAGGTGAGGTTTCTTGTGTCCCTGGGGCCGATGCTCAGCGTGGAAGAGACTGGCGGCGTTAGGGATGCTCACGTGTGGGACGTGTGTCCTGGCGAACACAGTGCAGAGTCCACCGCCTGACCGTTCTCCGGAGGCCATTCCCATGAGCGTCTGCAGCCCGCCGTGCAGAGACAGGCCCTGCGTGTGGCTCAGCGACAGCCCCGGGCGAGGCTGAGCAGGGCCCCGGCAGGCACGGGGTGGCCGGCTTGTTGACTTCATCCCCTTGGGGAGCCTGGGGGACTGGTTGTCGTGGAGATGCAAGTCCAATTCTAGGAGTTTTGGAATTTCTTTTAAAAGCTATTGTATTTGATGCCTAGATGTGTTACTGGAGATTTCATTTTCCTTCCTCTCGGTGCAGGTCTTTTCTCTGTCTTCAGCTTTCCATCCTCTGGGGTGTTGTTTTTGAAGGTCCGGTCCATAAAAGTGTTCATTTCCTCCATCCACATTCTTTGGGACCTTGTCTTGTTCCCTGGGGGGGGGGGGGGGGAGGGGGGGAGTGACTGAACCTGATAGCCTTGGGGTTGCGCATCCTACGTGGCCCTCGCCCTCACCTCTTCGAGCTGCAAATGCACAGCCTGCGTGCATGGTGGTGGATGTTTCATTCCTTCCACCTCCCTTGGAAACTGCCAAGTGTGACATCCTTGGTGTCTTGTAAGCTAAGTAAAGAATGAATGAATGAATGAATGAGCAAGCAAATGAATAGATGTTAGTGAGTCCCATGTTCAGAGTGGCCAAACAGCCAAGGCCACTCTGAACATGGGACTCTTAATCAAGGACCACCCAGCTGCAGGGCCACAGCGATCTCACAGTACGCTGTGCCCTCTATCGCCAAACGGTTGATGTCATTATTGGCACGAGGCCTGCTTGTCTAGGAGTATAAAGCATGTTGTCAGCCAGCGACTGGGCTAGGGAAACGGCCAGAGAGCTGAGGAGCTGAGCACTGGGACTGCTACGATGTCAGGCTGAGAGCTCACAGAGAGCTCAGCTATAGCTGCCGGGTCACCCAGCCAGCGTGCTGGGCCGGGGAGTGTGGCTGAGGCGGCAGGCACAGAGGATGCAGCTACGGGAGACACGGGGACAGGAGAAGCTGCTGAGGCCGAGCTCAGGTGCCGCTGCGATGTGAGGCGGTGGTCCAGCAGCGTGCGGCTGCTCCGGTGACGGCTGTGGGCGCAGAGACTGCCACTGCCATGTGGGAAGGACAGTATCCACCAGCCGGTGTGCGGCTGCCTGCGTGGGCCTTCCTGTGAAGAGCTGTGTCTGATGGCTTATGGCCACCGGCTTCTGCACTAAAGACTCTCCTGGCTTCTCCGTCTCAGACCCGGTCCTAACAGGTCCAGTTCCAGGCAGACAGGCTCGGACCCAGCACCTTCACTAGTGAGCAGGGGATAAAGGAGGAACTTGGACTGAGTTCCCAATAGCTAGCACAGTGGGCAGGGTTCGGGAAGGAACCTGCTCTGGCGCAGTCGGGAAGAATCCGGAAGAATATAGGGACTCGGAGCCACTCGGAGCAGAGCTGGGGTGGGGCTCTGTGTCCCTGGCACCCTCCCACCGCGCAGAGGCGGCGGCAGCCATCTGCTCGGCACACACACTGCCCTCCTCTCCGTCCCTTCGGTGCTGAAGGCAGGCAGCAGGGGCCAGAGCCGCCTTGTCTGCCCCGCCCCATGCCGGATGCTGGCAGCCAAGCCGAGTCTGCACTTCGGAGCATGGTTCTTGGCACATAAAACCCGCATCTCCCATTCACTGCCCAGCAGGTCTCCCTTCTCCCAGCACCAGGCGTCCACTTCAGTCCTGAGCAGGAAAGGGCATCTGACCCAAATTAGGAAAATCATTGAAGTAAAACTGGTCCGTTTTCTCCATGTGGAGAGTGAGAATGCCTGCCGTCTCTCCTCCTGGCATGAGCCCAGCAGGGGTCCAGCTGGGGGCTCAGCCTGGGGGCACAGTGGGGCCTGGGGGAGGGCTCAGCTTGCAGCGCGGGGGGCAGCCTGGGGGCTCAGCCTGGATGGTCAGCGGGGCTCGAGGGCTGAGGGGGCTGAGGGGGCCTGCTGGAGGAGTCGGCACTGGAGCTGAGGGCGGGTGCACGGCCATCCGGGCTGCCTTCGCTGCGTTGACAATGAGGTCGCCAGCACAAACTGGAGAAAACCTTCGCGATGTCCACCGTCTTTATATCCACCGTATATGAAGTGTGAGCTGTGGAGAGCAAGGCCAAGCCTGGCGGGATGGAGACTGAGATGGGAGAAACTTCCAGAAGGAAGACGGATGCTGAGGCAGGCCTTGGAGGGAGAGGGCAGGAGACAAGAGGGGCCGCACCCACGTGGACACTGGAGGATCCTCGTCCACAACGAGCTCTTTCCTGATGCGGGACTAAGAGGCAGCCAAATTATGTGTTTTTCTCACTTTGATGTTTCTCTCTGTCTTTCCCTCTCTCTTTCACTCTCTCTAAAAAGCAATGGAAAAATATCCTCGGTGAGGGTTAAAAATAAACAAAATAAGGCTGTGAGTCCAGTGTTTGTGAAGTTATTAGGGCAATGGCTCTCATCCTTCCGTCCTGAGGGTGGGGGGAGGGGGACCTCTTTGATGGCAGCCGAGGATGGATGTTTGTAAAGGTGGGGACACGGGCCTTCCAGGGCTGACAGCTGCTGTGACGGGAATACGTGTGTGAGGGACAGAGGGTGTGCAGGCCTCATTGGTCACCACCTGGGGAGTCATCATTCCCAGAAACTCTGTCCGGGGTGTGCGGGCCTCAGGGGTCACTGTCCGGTGAGGTCCTGGTTCGCTGAGACTCTGCCCCCTGAGGGGCACTGTGGGTTTCTGAGCCACAGAACTGTGTCAGCCTGGGGCTGGCAGCCACGGGCGGGTGGGGCCCGCCGCCTTTCTGAGGCGGAGGGACCGTCTGGTCCAGGACTCCCAGCCCCGGGGGTCACTGGTGTCTTCGTGCTCCTAAGCTTGCACAAGTATCACTTGTGTCTGTCTTCATCTTCACATGGCGTCCCCCCATGTCCCAACCCTGTGTCTCAGTCCCCCTTTTCTGAGGACACCAGACATTGTCATAGGACCCACCCTAATGGCCTCACTTTCACGGTTATTTCCTAAAGCTCCGTCTGCACATGGAGTCACACTGAGGGCCTGGAGGTTAGGGCTCCAATCCATCTTTTGGGGGAGATCGAAGCTCCCATAGCCCATCGCTAAGAAAAAAGGTAGCAAATTTGGTCTTTGTCTTCTGCTTAGACTTCTTTTAATGAAACAGTGAGGGGTTTTTTGTTTTTGTTTTTACCAAAAGCAGAACAAATTATAGGCCAGTGCTGTCTGTTCATCGACACCACATGCTTGCAGTTCACAAGTACACTGAATTCTGTAACAAGGAACACACTTCGCCATGAGGTCAGAACGCCTTCGGAGGGTGAGAAGGAAACTCCGATGGAGAGGGTCGCCCTGAGCCTGCAGCCTGAGCTCCCAGGGCAGGCACGTCCCAGCCGGTCTGCTCATCGCCCACGCTCCTCGCCTCCTTCCCACGGCCACCCACGAGCACTGTCCACGTCACTGATCCAGGGCAAAGCACCAGGGCGTGAAGCTAGCACATTCTAAGCAGACTCTCGCCGCTCTGGCCAATGAAGCTGCAGCTTTCCTTGGAAACAGCCAAGTGCAGTCCGGGGGAGCCTGGCAGCAGTGCCCGCTTCCTTCCCCATGAGCCCCGGACTCATTATCTGTGGGATGGCGGCCAAGCAGCAGGACGGCGGAGCCGGCCTTTGTCACCGCGGACGGCCACTGCCGTGCCCGCAGCGGGACTGGGCCGGGCGGGGCGCAGCAGGCCGTCGGCGTCGGGTCCATAAAGCGCCGCCCGGCGCTCAGGCTCCGGGCCTCCCTGTGAAACCGCCTCCGGCGCCATGACCAGCGGCCATGGGCCTGGAATGAGCGAGCTGAGGGGCGGGGACGCTTCGGAGAGGACCGGGCTCTGGCCCAGGGGGCTACTACCCGGCCAGGTCTCCTAACAGGAACGGATTCCTCACTGAAGAAAGTTCTCGCAAAGCCCCCCATCTTGATTGCCCTGGTCTCCAATAAACGTTGACGGCTCCGAAAATGGTCTTTGCTTCTTCTTCACACCAGGCTTTTCCCGC